TCTTGAGGCCAAAAATCGTGATTAGGACAAGTCACACCCTTCTCTTGGCCCAGTCTTCCTTTGCTGGTGAGTTTTTAAACATATTATAAACTCATCTTCTCGTTTTTCCTTAAGCAACATCTTGAATTGGCATGCGGCAGAAGAAAAATCTCACTGTCAAGTAAACTCCAAAGCAAGTCACAGATTTAGCAGGAGGTTCTGTAAAATGTTATAAACTATTAGAGCAGAGATCCTCCTGAAGTCATTGGGTGGATAGTGGAGCACAGAAGACAGAGCAGAGGACCCAGCATTTACCAGAGCCTTCCAATTAAACAAAGAAAACCCCAGAGAGAACTCTTCCAAGAAAATCGCTTTATAGCACACACATAATGAAAACCAAAACACAACAAAACTTGTCTCTGACTTTTTTTTAAAAAATAAAAGGGCTGTTTAAAAAGATGACTGTAGAGTGTGTACCACTTCTCCCAGATTTGCTGTGCAGAAGTGCATAAGTGTGAGTGATGTAGAGGTACTTGTTTATTATAGAGCACATTTCAATGCAGTAATCATAAATATTGCTAAGGTTGTGCTCTGTTGAAATATGACCTACATACTCTTGATTGTTTGTGTTACGTGATTTGTCTGACACCCATTACATTCTGGGTAATAGCAGCCATTTGTTGCTCTGCACAGCAGGCTCTTTTGACAAAAGAAAATAGGCAGCAATAAAAAAGCTATAGTCTGAATTACATTCTGCACAGAGCTGCACTGCTGAGAGTTTGTGCAAGTGTGTTAACAATGCTCTGAACTGCCTCTTGTCAGCCTTCAGCCTGTAATGGCCATCTGTCCTCCCATAAATCTGTCAAAACCTGCTAAGTTCAAGAGAGAGCATGGAATATACCTTGTACTGTCAACACCAAAATGTACACATTCCCCAGAAAATCAACACACAGGAAATAATCCGGAGGTGATGGGCGGCATTAGCACTGTTGGTTCAGGCTTGTGGGATGGAATTGAGGGCCTGGCGATTAGTGGGAGGATGAGCAAAGGTAGCAGCATTAAGGAATTGGTATTGACTGTTCTCCAACCGCAGGGGGAAGAAATCTGGGTAGGGGAGACGGGGTTAGAGAAATCCAATTAGTTTGGGTGCAGCAAGGGGTCCCCGTCCCGTGGGCAGCTCTTAAAAGTTTGACAGTGTTAAAAGAAAAAAAAAAACACTTCTTACATTGCTGTTTTGCTTGGGGTCTCAACTATCTCTGGAAAAAGATTTTCAATTAGGCACTGGTGGTTCGAGGGCTTGCGATTCTTGAGATTTCTCAGTCTTGCTTGAAGGTACTGTCTGATTAAAGATGTTTCAGTAAACAGTAAAAAAGTTTAGAGAATTATCTGAATTATTTCCCCAGACCCACCTACTCAGTAATCCTAAAGTAATTTCCATTGGCTAAGCAAGAATTCTTGATTGTTTTAACAAGTAGTGCCGACAGAAATTTATTGCCTTGATAATTTCACTCCCAGGGTATATTTGGTTATCTCTGAGAGCATCTGTACATCTTAAGCATATGTGTAAGAAAATATACTTACTTAAAATGTTAAAGGCTTATCTCTTCATTTAAAAAGAACTGTGAATTCCCTGGGGCTGAATCCCTGAAACACTAGCTGCTGGCGTGGGTGGCATTAGGCACATAGTAGGAGTGCAGTGACTGTTCAGTTGCTGCAGTCTGCCCAATATGTGAAGGAGGTGAAAGTCTCTGTTTTTAACTCAAAGAAACCACAATCGAGGTGCCGTCAGTCCCAAGAGCAACTTGAGAATCAGTTATTTAAGTGATAATGAGCTTAGGTACTAGGACAAGGGTTTCACATGTTCAAGACTAAAAAGAATTTCTATATTTAAAATCCCTAGATAGCTAAGTTATTTATAGAACTAGTCTCTCTTTAATAGTGGCCTAATTTGGTGTTTCTGAAGTTTAGGGTTTCTTTTCATAAGTCTAGAATGTCTGTCAAAATACATATACCTGAGTAAAAGGCAATGTGCCACATGGGATCTGTAGGACAGTGGCTTTTCACAGGAGCTCTGTGAATCACCTTATTAAAGATGCTTAACCAGCCCTGACTGGTGTGGCTCAGTTGGTTGGAATGAGGTCTGTCAAAGTGAAAGGTTGCCAGTTCCATTCCTGGGTGGGGCACATACCTGGGTTGTAGGTTCTGTCCCCAGTCAGGGCTTGGACGAGAGGCAACAGACTGATGTTCCGTTTCTCTCCCTCTCTTCTCCCTCTCTCCCCGCCTCTAAAAATATATAAATAGATAGATAGATCAAGAAATAAATAATTTAAAAAATGTTTAACCAGCTTCCTAAGGGGTCCTTTGGCCACCGAAATGTGATATCAATGAATGAAGGAGGATCTTGAAAAATAAAAATGAGTATAAATTTTTGCAAAAATAAGACCAAACAATATCCCACTAAGCATGTGTGATCTACTTGAAGAGACAAGATATAATTCACATTCAAAAAAGATAAGCAAGACCATATAACCTATATCTAATTTTTAAAATTTTAATCTTTATTGTATTTTTTCCATTACCATTTTGTCCCCTTATATACCCTCCCACACATCAATCACCGCCCTGTTGTCCATGTCCATGAGTCCTTTTTTCTTTTTGCTCTATGCACATTTAAACAATGGAATACTACCCAGCTATAAAAGAGAAGAAAACTTTACCTGTCGTGACAGTGTGGATGGACCTGGAGAACATTATGCTAAGTGAAATAAGCCAGTCAGAGAAAGACAAATACCCTATGATCTCACTCATACATGCAATCTAATGAACAAATGGAGCCATATAACTGTATGTAATAAGTATCAAGTGACTGAGCCTGGCAGTAACTTATTGGAACAGTAAAAATTACCTTATTTTGGGGTATCATGAAAAGATTTATGGAGCTAGGTCTTTAGGATGTTGATGTTATTTCCCCCAATGTAAAGGCTCTGTTATTAGGAATATTTGACAGTTACTTACTTGGCAAAGAGATTATTCCTCATCATTTCTTTAAGCATCTTAACTTCCTATGAGAAATATTTGAGAACTTGTAATTCCTTTGCTGGGCATTAGTTTACATTTGTTGTAATGGTAATAGAAGGTAGTGGTCGAAATCAGTATGTATATATTGGCAGTGCAGAAGGAAATAAAACAAGAAAAAAAGAGAGAGAAGAAAAGACTGACCACATGTTGAGTAAAAGTCACATTTGTCCATGAAAAAAGAAGAGTCTGCCTCAGTGGCACAGATGATTCATTCAATACTATGTCACCTCCTTATTATCTATTAGCAAAGAAGGGTAGATGTGCAGTAAGCTGCCACTAAGGAGAAACTTTTTTGAGACTCAATGTTTCTTTTCTCTTTGTGTTTGCATTTCCCCATCTTCATGAACTTTTCTGGGATGGATTTCCAAAGGCAAACCACTTTGCCTCTTTGTTTCTTTTCTTTCCTCATTAAGGGAAAATTAGTTATGCATAATAAGAGTGGCCAGAGTGGCATGACATATTTCATTTTAGGGAAAAATGCCAATTTTTTTCATCTCTCTGTTGTAAAGTAGGAGAGAGAAGCAGCATCTTCCTGTTCATACCAAAATTTCATGTGGCTTTTTGTGACCTACTTGGTTGTCTCTCTCTCTCTCTCTCTCTCTCTCTCTCTCTCTCTCTCTCTATATATATATATATATATATATATATATATATATATATATATATATATATTTCTAACAAGGTAGGATTTCTCTGCCTTTCCTTGAAACGTGCAGTTGCCTTAAGTCTAACCTCAGGCTTGTTAGCAGACTTGAAGTTCTTTTTTGCTGAATAGCATTCACCCATCCTCCTAAATAGAAAGTGTATTATAAACTAAAATGTTCACTTGTAAGCATAAAGTCATTTGAACCCCAGCTTTGCCTTCTTCAAAGCTTCTTGGTCTCAGAATCCATGTCACAGTTACTTTTCCTCGGCCCAGAGGAAGGAGCAGCACCTACTCAGGGCTGACCCTTCACGGAGGCGCCTTCACAGATTGTCCTTCACACAGTGACTTCTGATGGCATTTCCTGCTTTTCTGTAGAAATCCACAGAAGGCGACAACTGATGGGTTTTCCCCTTTTTTCCTCTGTGTTTTTTAAAAATTTAAATTAATTGCGGAAGCTTGGATTCCTTTCAACCCTTCGCCCTCATAACCTGCGCTAATGTTGTGCTCTAATGAAATGGTCCCGTCACTGCAGTAATTCCTGTTACTGTTCACTTTGGTTTCTGTCGCAGAACCATATTTTAGACAGAATGTATTAGTTATGCTTACAAGAATGTATTATACCTACATTGGCCACGGTTTACTAAGTTAATGAACTGTGGCGACAAAATCGTAGCCATCACGTTGTAGAGTTGTCTAGTTCCCCACATTTGATTGTTGTATTTTGCTGAACTTGTATCAATGGCTCCTATGTCATCCCTGCATTTGCCATCATCCCATCTATTTTTTTGAAGTTGCCTAATTCTTTGGCTCCGTGGCTAGATTTTCTTGATTGGACCGAAATACCCTGGACCACCTGCATTCTCAGTAGCGTTCTTTGTAGACAGAAGCTACCAAAGCCGTTTTGTGATGCCCCTGAGTCCCACCACATTCATTTTCCATAATGCAGATGATACGGTGCCCTTGAAAAATCTGACCTTTGGTGATGCCTGGTGTCATGGAGGCCGGGAGGGACACGTTAATGTTTTCTCAGAGGTAGGTCCGTTAGCATTGGTGTTCAAAATACAAAATATCACGTGCAGCTCCCTGGCATGGCTGATCCATCTTCTCTTGGTGACAGAGGCTTAGGAGTAGAGAGTCACTTTATCAGGTGTTGTCATGAATTAGGTTTCCTTCTTTTTCACTCAGTTTTAGCCATTGTCTGAAATCTTGGAAATATTAGAAAAATGTATCCTGGCATTTAAGAACATTGTCTCTTCTCTCTTTCTCTTCCTATCTCCTTTTTTTTTTTTTGCCTTAGGCCTAACTCCACCCACGACTCCTCCTCATAAAGCCAACCAAGACAACCCTTTCAGGGCTTCTCCAAAGCTGAAGTCCTCTTGCAAGACTGTGGTACCTCCGCCATCAAAGAAGCCCCGGTACAGCGAGTGTCCTGGTACCCAAGGCAACAACTCCACCAAGAAGGGACCTGAGCAGTCTGAGCTGTATGCACAGCTCAGCAAGACCTCAGTGCTCCCCAGTGGACACGAGGAAAGGAAGGCCAGACGGCCCAGTCTACGGCTGTTTGGTGACCATGACTATTGTCAGTCAGTCAATTCCAAAACGGAAATACTCATTAATCTATCACAGGAGCTCCAAGACTCTAGACAACTAGAATATAAAGATGCTCCCTCCAGTTGGCAGGGGCAGATTTGTTCCTCCACAGATTCAGACAAGTGCTACATGAGAGAGACTCCAGAGGCGAGCAAGCAAGTCTCTCCCAGTAGCACCAGGAAACAGCTCCAAGACCAGGAAATCCGAGCCGAGCTGAACAAGCACTTCGGTCACCCCAGTCAAGCTGTTTTTGACGACGAAGCAGACAAGACCAGTGAACTGAGGGACAGTGATTTCAGTAACGAACAATTCTCCAAACTACCTATGTTTATCAATTCAGGATTAGCCATGGATGGCCTGTTTGATGACAGCGAAGATGAAAGTGATAAACTGAACTACCCTTGGGACGGCACGCAGTCCTATTCATTATTTGATGTGTCCCCTTCCTGCTCTTCTTTTAACTCTCCGTGTAGAGATTCTGTGTCACCACCCAAATCCTTATTTTCTCAAAGACCCCAAAGGATGCGCTCCCGTTCAAGGTCCTTTTCTCGACACAGGTCGTGTTCCCGATCACCATATTCCAGGTCAAGATCAAGGTCCCCAGGCAGTAGATCCTCTTCAAGGTAAACCTTGTCACAACCCACCCAGAACATAAGGCATTTCCAGGAAATAAAAAATAAAAAAAAAAAAAGGAAAGAAAGAAAGAAAAAGAAAAGAAAAATAAGGAAAGACCAAAAAACCCAAAAACATTCAAACCCACAGGCAGCCCAGCCCCTCACAACTGCATTCTGGGTGCCATGGAACTAATGAGATTGTTGTCACACGTACATCGCTCCTCATCTTTTCTTAAATCTGTCAGCCTTGAGCAGAGTGCCTTGAGCCAGTCAGATCAGAGAGAGAGCAATTTGTAAGAAACTTGCTCATCTAACTTTTTCCATTACCTGGAGAGCTGCCCTGTGCCAGGATAGTTGAGATCCATGCAAGATAAAGCTGACAGTGTACTAGACTGGCGCTTGGCGTTAACATCAATAAGAGACACCGGAGAGAACACATCCCTCCCAGACCTCTAAGCTGACTAGATGATCAGAAACTGTCACTGGAAAAATCTCACTAGTTTCCGGGAAGAAAAAGCCAGTTTATGTAACGCAGTGCTCCAGGGGCGTTCAGTTGTGCCAATCCACAGGGGTTAAGTGGCAGTCGCGAACGCCTTTCTGTTTTTCTCCTCTCCCCTAGATCTTGCTACTACTATGAGTCAAGCCACTGCAGACACCGTGCACACCGAAATTCTCCCCTGTGCTCAAGATCACGTTCAAGATCACCCTACAGCCGTAGGCCCAGGTAAGGACGCGTGTCATTTCCCCTGGGCTCCTCTCACCCTGGCCTTCACATGACACGATGTTATCTAAAACCCCGCCCCTCCCCACTTTGTTTATTTTGCTCTTGTCGTTGGAGGTGGTTGACTTAATGATGAAGTTATGTTTCTCAGGTATGACAGCTACGAGGAATATCAGCACGAAAGGCTGAAGAGGGAAGAATACCGCAGAGAGTATGAGAAGCGGGAATCTGAAAGGGCCAAACAGAGGGAGAGGCAGAGGCAGAAGGCAATTGTAAGCAGCTTGGAGCTAACTTGCATTTCAAAGGAGGGTTTCTTTTTTGTTTTCCTTCCTTCCTTCCTCTTTCTTTTTTGTAGATTAGAAAATAAACTAAATCTAAGGCTTTGTTAAAATATGCAATATTCGCCCTTTTGACATTCAAACATCAGTGTGTCCCCAATCTCTCTTCATACAAATGATTAGAAAACTAAATGTGAAATCAGTATATTTCTCATTCATCTTGAAGCTCATTACTGTTTTTAAAAATGGAAGGAGTGGAGAGTTACTCGGTCAGATACTGGTTCCATCCGGTCAAAGGATAAGTTCTTCTTATTGTTCTCAGCTGCCTTTTTCTCTGAGTGGAAAATGAGCAGATATCACTGTTCCCTCTTTTTGGCAAACTTGAGGATTGGATTGCCCGTGAAGAGACTGGGTCCAAATTAGATTTAAAGGAGTCAGGAGAGGAAGATTTGCTAAGGAAGTCATCATTTCTTACTTATGCTGGGTCAACACCTAACCAGGCAGGAGATGCGTCACATTTCTTAGGAACTACTCGTCAATAACCCATTAGATATTTTGGCACCACTTACAGCAGCGTATTACAGTTACTTGACATATAGACAGTACTGACCCTTTGATGGAAAGATTCAGATTATATGAAAAGTAATTTTTTTTTGTACAGTGCTTTTTCAGCAGCTTCTTACTAATGGGTAGACTTTACCTGGCTCCCACCCAATGCTTGTCAACCTAGACCTTGGAAGGCAAATGTGAGACACTCCAGTGGTTGGCATCTAGCACTTGTCCATGGCGACATTCCTAATTGATTATGGCATACTACCCGTGAGCCCCCACAGAGTCTCAGGGTGTTTCCCAACAGGGTGCTCCACCGAGCTGTGGCTCATTGGTTAGAAATGGTACTGCTCTTGTTCATTGCAGCCAGTACCTCATTATGGGAGCTTCTGAGACTCATTTCCCTGAAGATCAGCTTTTGACACATCTTGAATATAAGCACACTAAGACTTAGGGAAAGGGATTTTAAAAGTTAGAGGTATATGGTTCCTTTAAGAAAACCCGCTACCATCAACCAAATCTTGAAAAACCTACAGCAAAGAGCTTATTAATAAAGTCAAAATCAAGCACTAGCCAACAGTGATCAGCTGGAGGAAGAAGGTTACCTGAGAAGTCTGTTAATTGTGGGCACTGAAGGAGAAAAAAGGGAGAAGTAATCGAATACTTGAGCTACGGGTCTAGGGTGTTTGTTGTCACTCACTTAACTTTGAATGTACCTAAGACTAAATCATGGGCCTTTTGCTAATTACAACACTTTTCCTCATTTTTTTCTCAACTTTCAAATGAGCTGTGATATTAAGCTCTGACAGAGTGTCATTAGTTAACACTTAAGAAGACTAATGAAAATTAAAAAATTCAATATTTCTAATTTTACTATTTTTAATTAATAGCCTATTCAATAATTATAATAACTCACATTTATATAGTGCCATGTAGTTTATAAAGACTTTTAATATGGCACATTACAGTTAATCTTTACAAAAGAGAATCATGTTGCATAAGCATGTAGGGAAAATAGTTATTTCAGTGTTTGCAAAGTCACATTTTATAAAATCTTCCATGTTTCTTCCCAGAAGTATGCCATTAAAGAGAGAGATTATTTCATAATATATTTGTTCATTTGGGAAAAATAAAACATAACTATAACCAAAGCTGTGTAAATAAATATAGATAAAGACATGCTTATTTTACTCCTTCCAAAGGTAATTTAGGGTCAGATCCTTAACTAGAGTCAAGACAGGGAGGGAGGTGCCTCGTTGCTAGTTTGGCCCTTTCCAAATAGATCACTAGCTGATGCCCATTCCCAAACCGCCCTTGAGGTCATTAATCTGTTTGGAAGCAGATGTCTCCCTGCCTTCTCCTTATGTCTCAAATGTTGACCATTCCTCAGTTAATTTTTTGATTAGGACAATGTTGTATCAGTTCTCTTTGAAAGATGGCTTATATAGTCCAAAGGTCAACTTGGCTTATATTAAATTATTCTAAAATAACTAAGCACTTGTGAGAATTCTGAAATTGAGTTTTTCTGTTTTTGAAAAGCAGATTGACAAAAAAAGAACTACAACCTAGAGATTGTTTACTAACACAGTGACAGTAGTAAGAACTTAACATAAAGATTTGGAATTAATTGTTAAACTAGTGCCCACTTCTACAATTATATGCTATTTGTCCTTGGCATAAGTGAAAACTCATGCCTCTTTATGTGCCAAACATTTGCTAGGTCCTTGGGATATAAAAGTAGGTGAGACCGGGTCCACTGTAGCCAGGGAGCTTCCCGTCTACTGGGAGGTAAAGCTAAATGGGCAATGGGGTGTGTTAAGTGCTGTTGCAGAAGACACATCTAAGGCTTTGTGGTGGGCACTCAGATCTGGGAATGAAGAAAGTCATTCCCAAAGAGAAGGAGATTGATCTGAAACCAAAAGAGGTGGAAGGTAAAGGTTTTCTGAACTTCTGCTGTGCGACATGTTAGCCATTAGCCAAGTGACTAATTCAGCTAGTTCCAAATTCAGATGCACTGCAAGTGTGATTGGATTTTTGAAGACCACACCAAAAAAAGGGAGTACAGTACTTTATTAATTTATTTTAGATCGATGACAGGTTGAAATGATATTTTAGATGTATGGAGCTGAATAAATATATCATTAGAATTAACTTTCTGGCTCTTCTTTTCCTTTTAAAATGTAGCTCCTGTACTTTCTTAACTTACATAAACTGAATTATATTTTTCTTGTGGACATTGCTGTTGTAGGCAGAAGTGATAGCTCATAATACATCTCTGGGGGAAAAAAGCAAGGTAGATTGGGAAGCTGCTAGCCATTTAACTGGAATACTGAGGTATGGGAGCTGCAAGAAATAAGTCTGGAGGGCTTTATGAAAGCCAGACCTGTGAAGGGTCCTGTAAGTCATGATATAGATTTTGAAGTTTGTCTTGGAGGCTTAGTGGAACTATTTAATGAGTTTACCCACAGGAAGGTTTTCTGATTGATTTCCTTCCTCAAAATGATCTGCTTTCTTATGCCAAAATGCATTTTGCAAAGTTTATTTTTATGAACTTGGGCACAGAGATACATGCAATGATTTTTGATTCATTTGACTAGATTAGCTTGGAAAGTCATTCATAAAATGACTAAAGGAACTAGAAGGGTCTTCCCAGGTTGGTTGGGTAGGTGATTTCCATTCAGATTTTTGAGACACCCTTAGAGTAATGAATAATGGAAAATTATATTTGGGATCCTTTGGGTGCAGTGCTGGATTTTGCATTAATTCAGATCGGTTATATAATTAGGAGACCAACAAAGCAGAGGTTCCATAAGGAAATAAAAGTAATATTAAAATTATATAATAATTGATATTTTACCAAATGAAAGTCATTTTGCTGTTGTTTTGAGCTCCATAAGGCGATGGCTTGGAAGGTCTATAAAGTTTTCATAGCTAATGCCTCTAAAAGTCCCTATCCAAATGAACTTGAGTGCACCAAATAAGAGAGTTCAGAGAAGAGTAGTGATTAGTAATTACTAACCCAGAATCGTTCATTGTGGTTGAATATTGCTATTGTTTCAGTTTCTACTTTCCTCCAATTTCCATCTAAACCCTTTCTTAAAAACCAATTCATCCTCTGCCTTTCTCAGTCTTGTAGGCTTGAAATAATTCAGGTGCTATTGGAACAGCATAAGCCAGGGTTAGTACTTAATGTCTAAACTGCCACTGCTCTAATTTCTTCTGGACTTCTAAGTCCAACTCCATTTGCAATCTGTACAGTTTCCTGCCAGAAAACATGATAATGGGATGTTAATTAAAAGGGAAAATCTAGACATTATGATATGGCTCAGTGCTCAAAACCCAAACCAGATGTACTTGGGCAATGGCGGTGGCATTTCATTTCTCTCTGCACCCCCCCACCCCCACCCACACTGGTTAGTATTCAGCCTGGGAGCCAAGAACAGTGCGTCATCACTGATAATGATCGGCTTCTTCCGAATGAACAAAAATTGTGTAATTTCTCATAGTTATTCTTTTTGGAAAAAATTAAGTAGTTTTCTATTCATACCCTTTTAGAGAGCTATTTTGTGGGGGTGAATATATCTAAGGTTGAGCTCAGAGCTCACTGTTTAGCAACTGGCAGTTTTATCAGAAGTAGTTATATATACCCTCAGTCTGTAGTTCTGATGTTTTCTGACTTATCACTGGGTTTACTTGAATCTTAGCTCCTACTTGCACATTGTCTATTAAGACGACTGACCTGGATTTATTCAAGTTTATCCAGCCTTAGACACTAAGGAGGAACATGTCTGAGAGTTACTGGGATGGGGGTAACTCTGGAAAATTGAATGCTGTAGTTTTGGTTCCTCCCTAAGAGTGACCCCCAGTAGTAGGAACTTACTGAATGACTACTGGATTGAATAAGTATAATCAATATTAAAGGCAAGAGAAAAATATCTTTTTGTTTTTGGATTTTGCGAGACTTCCAGCATTTCTTTCTGCCCATTGACATCTTTTAATGGACCCCCCACCTCCCAGTTTATTCTTTGGATGGAGGACCTAACTATGCCATTCACTCTGGAAACTGCATAGGATTTATTCATTCATCTCATCTATAGTATTCATAGTGTATTTGGAATTTCTAAAGAAGTCAGAAGCTAACCTGATATGCACAAATCTTTTACTGCCAAAGTTGACATGCAGTTTCCTTAGCACAGGAGTAGGCTTTTGAAAATTATTCTAATTGGGGAATGTTGACTAAAAGTTCTAAGAATCCAAATTCTATTAGGCTATTTCTTGTTGTTACCCAGCATTGCAGAGTATTTTGGTGAGATAACACATAAAAAGTATTTACCATAGTACTTGATATATTTTAGACGATAAATGATAATTTCCTTATTAATTTCGTTTATTTCTTAGTCAAACCCCTTTCACCAGGATTATTATTTGAGGAGAAACATTGGCATTTTCTTCGGCTAACTTGGGAGGCTCTATACACTTTCTGATAAACATTTTGATAATGCAAAGTCAGTTAATTCAGTAAGGCCTTTTTTTTCCCCTTTATTTATCCCCTGTGTTTTGATATAATGAGGATTTACCATACCTGTTAATGCAACATAAATCTCTAATTTTATTATCTACCCCATCAGCAAACTAGCTTTTGTGAAACTTGAAGCTAAAAGATATTTGATAAATGCTCCATCTTCCTCAATAGTAAAAACTGGTCTGAAAATAATTTTTCAAAAGCTTTTGCCAAAGGTTTAGAGTTCTTCCAAGCCTTTAAGAAGTTGGAAATGTTATTAAGCATTTTGATTTCTTTTCCTTTCATCTCCTGTTTAGAAATTAATGTCTTGAAAAACTGGCTGCAAATGTTAAGGTTTTTTAAAGATATGGAATCTATTAATCTGTCTAATAAAACTGCAACATGTTAAAAATAATCGGTTCTCTGTTAGACGTTTTGGCCAATCTTGGAAGGATTTTTTGTCTTTGCTCTTTTAGACCTTCAGATGCCTTTTAGTTTCAGTTTTAGCACCGGCAAAACTGAGCACTCTAATCATTTTCTCAAATGATAATTTTAACATGTCCTCAATCTCTAGTCTTTGTAAGATACCAAGACATGGCCCCAGTCCTGTGTTTTACAAAAGGAGATGATAGACAAACAGGTGGTTGAGGTGACTGTGCACAGCCCTTTGGATTTCTGTTCCTCTCCTCTAGGCTGTGTCTTCTTTTTTACTGCAGAATGTATCAGTATCTGATATAAAAGGTCCTCTGGTTTATCTCCTTTGTAGGATCGTTGTTGCATTCAGCTTCGTATAAAGAAGCAATTTAGAGACTGTCCCAATATGTCTGCATATGGACGTGCATATGGTAGATTTTAGCTTTAACTTCGAAGTTACTTGAATACATAGGCGGTGTGTATTCCCATAATGGTAGTTGAACAATTTTCTTGTGATGGTTCAATTTCTTTCTCTCTCTTCTGCATTGCCCCCTCCTTTTCCTCTATGTAGTAGTAACCTTCCTAAAAAGGCTCATTAAAAAAGAGAAAATCCATAACATTCATGCACGCAGGCACCAGGAAGTTTAGATAGGGGTCCCATCACATTCGGCTGTTTGGCTCGAGTCGGCTGCATAAATAGAATGGAATGTGATGTTATGATTCCATTGCCCAAGTATATAGCATTGCCTCAGGATAAGCCTCACCACCCATTTATATTTATTGACCTCCTGAATGTGATGGGTGCTCTGGAGCAACACAATTACAGCCTTGAATTGAGACATGCAATCTACATGGAGGTGAATCAGACAGCCTGCTGTTTGTTGTACATCATCTGGTCAGTTATTTAGACTCAGTAGCTGACATCAGGGGAATTGTGTTTTACCAACAGTTGCAGTGAAGCCCTACCTCTGGTTCTCAGAGGTGATTTTTAAAAGTGAGAGTCCTGCAAACTTGTAGCTACTCCACAATTATTGCACTTAAAACTGTAAAAACAAATCATGAAAACCTTCGTTAATTCTCTTAGTGAGCTACCTAGGCAAGTTTTTTCCTATGATAGACCACTAAACCTGGCTTTGTTTCTCCCTTATCTTAGGATATACACTTAGGCATCTTTGATATAATGAATGGTATGGAGTAAGTGTTCAAAGTAATTCATTTATTAGTGATGGATTGATTTTTCAACAAATATTTATTGAGACTTTATCTTTCAGGTATCCTTAGAACATGGTAGTCAATAGGACAGATATGGTCTCTGCTTTCATGAAGCTTTCATTATAGGGGGAGATGGACATGAAACAATAAATGAACTATTAATTATTTAACTACAATTGGGTGCAGAACTACAAAGGATAAATAGAATATTCTTTAAGAGCAACCAATAGGAATCATGACCTCATTTCAAGCCTCTGAGAGGAAATGATTATTGAATTTGATGTAATTCTAGACAGTCCGTGTAGGTTGGTACAGGGGAGGGAGAGGCAATGTAGAAAAAATGTTCCAAGTAGCAGGGGAACAGCTTACTCAAAACCCCTGGGAAAGGAAGGAACACTATATGCATTAAGGACTGATAGACACTCAATGTGGCTGGAATGCATAGTAAAGGAAAGAATGCAACGTGTGGCGATAAAGCCCATGATGATGACAGGTGCAGACCATGACAGGCTCAGTAGGTCCTCTTACTGATTTAGGGCTTGCCTTACAAGTTAGGAGAAGCCATCAGAATGTGTTAGACAGTAAATGGCATGGTCAGATACCTGTTCCTTTAACAAAGGCTACGCTTGCCTGTGAGGAAGAATAAAGTGGAGGAGAAGAAGCACAGACGCATGGCCCAAGTTATACTAGTCTGGAAGGAGATGCTGGCAGGTTGATTTAGAGGAGATAGAATAAAGGAGCTGGACTAGAGAGAGATTTAGGAGGCACAAATCAACAGGGCACAATGAGTGATGAGATGCGGGGGAAGGAACTCAGGTTTTTGCCCTGAATAACTGCCTAGATGATGTTCATTTCAATGATACAAGCACACTGGAGAAAGACCCACTGGGGAGAGGGTGGAACTGGGGAGTTTTGTCTGGGAAATGTTGGTCTAGTTTGAGATGCCAAGGGAACAAGTAATGTCAGATGTCAAATAGATGGTTATTCGAGTTTGCAGCTCAGAGGAACTTCCATGATGAAAATAGGAAGAGGAAGGTTGCATACAGATAAAAAAGGTGAAACATGAATGATGAGATAACCTAGGATGATATCTATTGTAGAGTCTGTGAATTGTTCAATCATATTTCACAAGTGCTTACTGAGTGCCCAGTCTTTGCCAGGTACTTTGCTAAATACTGGGCACATGAAAAGGAAGGCCATTCAGTAAATAACACATCTCTTTGCCTTAGGCCCAAATTACTTTTCACATCATCCAAGACAGGATACTCTCAGTACATCCAGAGAAAACTCTTAGGCAAGCGAAATTTATACCTTAGTCCTGTGCTTCCTGGGCTTTCCTTCCATCTAACTTAAATCTCAGCATCCTGAAGTTTGTTCCATTCTTGTTAATCTTTGATAGACATGTAGCCTAGTTGGTAAGCTCTTTCTTTATATTAACTCCTTCCATTCTTGCCTTTTCTCACTTTTGAGAGACATCATCACCTTTGTCCTGTCTTTTCAGAACAAGATTTATAGGATTGCTTCTTATATTTTTTAAGAAATATACCCTCAGGCTACAGAATATTCTTCTTGTATTTTGAAGGTTGTGAATTGCTGATTATGATGATATTGATGCCACTGGTGAAAATTAGGCCACACCCTTCCAATCTGTTTCTAAAATAAGGTTCATTGACAAAGTGAAGTTTATAACACTTTTTATAGCTCTTAGTCTTTGGAGACCCATGGCTTAAAATAGTCTATATTTTAAGACTGTATTTTTCAAATTATTTGTCTTTGGACAATCTGCATCACAATCACTTGGATGTGCTTATTAAAAATGAAGATCATTGAACCCTACCTTCCAAATATTTTTAGTACATCTGAGATAAATCCTAATAACTTGCATTTTTAATAAGCATTTCAGGTAATATTTACTTACACTAAAGTTCAAGAATCTCTCTTTTGAGCAATGTCAAAAGTTGTGCCTCAAATCATCATGCCGTATAACCTTAAACTAGTACAGTGATTTACGTCAATTATTTCTTAATAAAACTGGAGAAGTTATACCTCTCCTTATTAGAATTCTGAATTAATGAGAAATTAAACAGTTTTCTAAGCCAGCTCAGTCACTTACCAATTTTGAGGCTTAATAATAAAATATTTAATAGGTATTTTTGGTCACTTATTCCATGATAAGATGATCACATTGCACACCTTTCTTTTCTAACATGTGAAAGCTCATGTGACTCAAGTACAGAGATGACAAAAAATGTAGAAGTGAACCAGTTGCCACACGGAGAGAGCATGTAAGGGCAGAAAGTGATGCCGAAATGAGAAGTAAAACTCACTTCCAGTGTAGCCTTTCATTGGGTTTTACTGCAAGTTTTGCTTTAACTGGCATGCTTTGTGGATTCTTCTTATGCATGATTGTACCTTTCTGAGTGTTTCTAGAGGTTCAGCTCCTTTCCTACCTCCAGAACTAGCAAGTCTCTCTTTACTCTCCCCACCCCCAGGAAGAACGCCGTGTGATTTATGTTGGCAAAATCAGGCCTGACACAACACGGACAGAACTGAGGGACCGCTTTGAAGTTTTTGGTGAAATTGAGGAGTGCACAGTAAATCTGCGGGATGATGGGTGAGAATCTTCAAGATTATTTCTTGTTTAGAAGCTGACATATGTAAAAAATTATGGCCATAAGATTACTAGGATGGGGATGCTTTGACAGATGACATGTTGAGTTCAGAACCTTATTTATTTTCTTTCATCCCTATTTATTAATCTTTCTAGTTGAGATTTTCTGTCCCAGAAATAAGTATTTAGCTGCTTGACAGGACAATCACACTGATAAATGGATACAGTGGTTCAGACATTGGCACCAGCGAAGTCTCCTGTAGTAGAAAGGGTTCTAGTCATATATGCTAATGCCTCCTTGCTGGCTTTGAACTTCTCTTTGTCCATTGCAGAGACAGCTATGGTTTCATTACCTACCGTTATACCTGTGATGCTTTTGCTGCTCTTGAAAATGGATACACTTTGCGCAGGTCGAATGAAACTGACTTCGAGCTGTACTTTTGTGGACGCAAGCAATTTTTCAAGTCTAACTATGCAGACCTAGGTATGGATTTTATTGTATGTGGAATGAGGAATCCATAATGCAGAGCTCCAAATGGAAGTAAATGCAAACTGTAGGCACATTGGGTTGAACCATTATTTTACTAGAGGGAATATTTGAGTAGAGAATTTATCTTATTATTTAATTTTTAATGCACAAGACTGTTTCTGAAGTAAGGGGTGTGGGTTTGGGTGGCAAAAGGCGGGAATAAATTTGCCGGAGTCTCTTCTCTGATACTGAAATTCTGCACTGTTTATGGATGTATATGAGGTACATTGCGTTTCCTGTGTGTCTGTACTGGGTGCTTGTGTGGGGTGTAGCATCTGTCTGCATGTGTTTATACTGTGTGTGCCTGTATATTTGTGTGTCATCCGCCATTGCTTCTGTTTCTAACCCTGAATCCTATTGCCCAGCATTGCCATCACTGTTTTATGGAACAGAATATGCAAAAATCGTGTTCTTTTTCCTTAGTATATCACAAAGCCTTAGAAATGGTAATGTTTTCTGCCAATTATACCTTAAGAGGAGGAAATAAAATTGTATATGCTAAATCACACTATAGTTTCTTTAAAATGAATGAAAATTTCTGTTATTATTTGAGTAGTTCTACGTGCTAACCATCGTACCAGGGGCTTTGTGGGTATTTCCTCATTTAGTCACCAGAACAATTATAGGAGATAGATATTGTTGATATTCCCATTTTGCAGATAAGGAAACTGGAGCTTATGTAAGTATTGAATTTTTTTTCCTGTTACAAAAGTTGTACAGACTAAAGGGGTAAAACATAAAGAAAATGTTTTTTAAATATTAAGAAAATAGGAAATCACCCATTAGCCCATCACCTAGAGACGACCACAATGCCCCACTGTGTGATCTGCATTTTAGTATTTTGTCTCCGAATGTCTCATTTCTTATAGTTAAGGTCTTATATTAAAATATGCGCTTTAAATTCTACTTATCTGAATTAATATTATGTAAGTTCACTTTCCACTTAGTTACAGGCTTAAAAATAATTTATCAACACATTAATGGCTACACAGTATTTTGTTCAGAGAATAATGTCATACTTAATCATTTTAATTATAGCTAAACATTTGTTCAATTTTTAAGTTTTTAATATAAATAATACCACAATGGACATCTTAATTTCCTTTCCAATTTTAATTTTGTTCCTTTGCGTGTGATTTTTCTGTCTAATATGTGTAAGACTTTCCATTTTTTGATGAAGGAAGGGAAGTGGCAAATGTCTCATGCATATGACATAATTACTTAAAATCAATTATACTACTAATCATGAAATTAACATATAAATCTATTCCTATGTGTTTTATTCTATTATATAAAAATTAGCACATTTCTGTCTGCACTTGCTCTGGCTTGGTATAAAGAAAGAAATGAATAGCAAATACAGGGATTTTTTTTTTCTCCCTTCCACCAGAGCGATGTCTCCCTAGAGTAATTGATATAGGTAGTGTGCATTGTTCAGGGGGAATATGCTATAATTCACTTCAAGAGCTAAATAGATAGGGTGAAGCAGGGGAGAGTTAGCTTACTGTTAGAGAGATAGAGGTCCAGGGATGAAAATATAAACGGTGGCAAGTCATTTATTTGTTCAAATGTTGGCTGATAAAAGCAGTCAAGACAGATTGAAGTCTTGAGTTGATTTGACTTATTTTCTTCGGTGATGAAGGCCAGGGTGTTTCTAGTCTCTCAAAACATCTCCAGTTTAAAATAAGCTACCTAGAGGGGCCTTCAGATCACGATTCATCACTGGGAGAGGGAGGATTGAATGGTATTTCCAAATTGAACTAGAGCCTCCCTGAAATATTTCTAAGAGGAATGCTTCCCCTCTGGTTATCTCACTGCCTTGCCAGCAGCGATGAAACTTTGCCGTTGCTCAGCTAGCTCTGTATTTTCTGAAAAGTGCGTTTGATGTGCATTGTAGTAGCACGAGTTTTTCCAATTCCCTCAAGCCCTACAATTGCATGAAGCGTGGTCGATCTGAGCGTAAGTGTGGTGTAGTTGAGGAGCCTACAGACTTTTGGAATCCTGCAGACCTGGGTTTGAAACTGGACTTGGCTTCTGACCTTAAGCAAGCAATTAAACTCCCTCTGCTTCTGCTTCTTTATCGGTGAAATACCTCGAAATGCTGTCATGGAGATTAAGTTAATGTTTGTGAAGCTGTTAACTGTGTCTGGCATAAAGCAGTTGCTCAGTAAAGAGTAGCTATGATTATAATTAAACGTGAAGGGGATGATAAGTTAGAGGTTTCAAGTTATTTTAAAATGGCAGCATCAACATCAGTGTCCAGCGTTCGAAGCAAAGAGCATTCCTGTGCATCCTGTCTTTGTCTCCTGAAGAGTTCAACCTCAGTGCATCAGCGCACAGCCGCTGAATGTAGTGAACAGAAGCGTATACTGGACAATTAGAGTGGCGTAGGGGCAACTTTTCCTGCTCGTTTCCCCCAACCGCCATGGATGAAAGTAAACAAGACAGAGATATGACGTGATCTGCCTGGGGAGGAGTAGGTAACCAGTTTCTCAGGGGAAACAAAGGCCAGCAGCGGCCAGTTTCTCTGAGGAAAAAAGACCTCGAGCCCCTTCCTCTAGAGACTTTTATTGAGTTGTAATACATAGGAATACAGGGCAGCAAGGATCAAACAGTAGATAGTCTGAGTATGAGTCTGTCAGGAACAGAGTTTTAGGGTTTCCTGCTTGAACCCTTAACATATGAATGAATTCACTCTTAGCAGAGCAGGTTTCACAGGTTTATCAGCAAGTCATTGTGATGCCAGATTTTTGCCCAGGACATGCTCTAGCAAGGCAAGGAGCTGCACCTCTCCCCAACAGGTACTCAGGCTTAAGGAGATTAGAGCCAGGAAGTGCTTCTCCCAGAGGTCATGGGGACTCGGGCTATGTCAAAGCCGGGGGCAAGAGTCCATTGCTATTTGTTGCAGCCCCCCAAGTTTTTCCATGAAGGCCTCCCAAGTTATCGAGTCTGGCTTAGGTTGCCCCCCGCTGTGAGAGGTCTTACCTGTCGTTGACTTCTGACCAAGCTTTGGGGGCAGGGAGAGGAAACTGAGGCAGCATTTGCTACCAGAGACGGGCTTTGTCTCCTGTGGCTCGAATTCCAGAGGTCACGGCTCACTCATCCTTAAGCCACACGGGGTAGAGAGTTACAGTTCCTGAAACCAGGCAGAGCGCTGCACAGCAGAGAGACTGTGAGCTGTCACATGTGTCCAGTGTAGAGTGAAAATGGTGTGATACAGACACGTTTCACCAAGAGTAAAGTGACCAATCAGCCTAGAAAGAGATCACCAATGTTTTTCTGTTGTGTTTTTTTTTTTGTCCTCCCAAATTAAGTTAGTTTGCACATTCTATTTTAGTACTATTGAGGACACTCTTGGCCACTACAATATTACTAGTGCAAAACAGAATGATTCTAATTACAATTTATGAGCCAGTTTTGAGAGACTCGGAATTTAAAGAGACAATCAAGGTTACTATGGTGATGCCAAGATTTAAGTCTAGTTTCTATGAATCTGTAATCTGTGTGTCTTTCTATTTACTGTCTTATAAAACATGGATCATTCTGTAAGATATCAGTGAAAAATGATAAAAAAGGATAAAAATTAAATTAGGACCATCTGACCAAAGAAAGATGGGCTAGTACAAATAATAAAATAATTTTAATCCAAATTAATTGTGGTATAGAACTTAAACATATAAGAAAAAATGAAATAAAGATAATATTCATCACAAGTTTTTATTGACTCAAAGAAATATAATACATTATCAGCATTTTGAATATATATTCATAACTTTAATTTTTTTAAAGATTTTATTTGTTTTTAGAGAGAGAGGAAGGGGGGAGAAAGAGAGGAAGAGAAATATCAATGTGTGGTTGCCTCGCATACACCCCCTACTGGAGACCTGGCCCACAACCCAGGCATATGCGCCAACTGGGAATCGAACTGGCAACCCTTTTGTTTGCAGGCTGGCACTCAATCCACTGAGCTACACCGGCCAGGGCTATATACATAACTTTTCATAAAACCTTGCCATTTATCGGTAAATCATTCCCAGATCCCAACACAAATATTTTCAACCATAGTTTTCATAATATGCTGGTGGTTAAAATGAATACATTCATTTAACAAATATTAATTTTAGTATCTACTTTGTGCCAACAGTTTTCTCTGTGCCAGGAATACAGTTGTAATTTGATTCGTTTCCATTTATACAATGTCATTTGTAACAATTTATTTTAAAAAAAAATTAAAGTGGCTTTTAGATTATTCTTACCAAACTTTTAATTATATTTTACTTGAGTTGCAGTAGCTTTCCTTCACTATAGAAAAAAAGTGGTAGAATAGATGTTATTGCTTTGAGAAGTACATGTGACCACAAAAGATTTGGGGTACCTATGTGTGATATAGTATGCTCATTAGTGGATATATATGTAAATACCAGTTTTCATATTTCACAGTAAAAAAACCTTGAGAAGTGCTGCTTTAAAACATTTTTAGTATTTGCTAATAAAAATACAGAAACACTGAAATTTTGGGTCTCATGCAGAATAATCTCAAGTTAAAATATTTTAATCATTCTCAAAATCACCTCCAAGGAAAGATATGCATGTGTCTTTCTGATGGGTCTGTGCCAACCTGATGTCATGCCGACTCCCAACATCAAGAGACTGTCTTCCTCCTCTATTTTATGCTACTCTGGGCAACTCTGATTTTAGGCTGATCTCTGGCAATAAGCAAGACTTACTTTCTTTCTTTTTCTCCTCCCCTTCCTCCTTCCTCTTTTTTGTTTCTACAAAAAAAGATTTTGATTTGAATAACAGCCGCCCTGAGGTTCTAGTGATACAAACAAACTATGAAGAGTGGAGAACCATTATAATTTAAGAATTAACCATTTAAGATGTTAGGGAAAGATTGGCTGTTTTTGTCCTTGCTTTTATGTCTGGGCTGAGTTTAATTATTGTTGCTTTGTTGTTGTTCTTACCTGGAAAGTGTTGCCTAACAAAAAGACAGTAAAGACAAAGAATGGCAAGGATGAGAGAGAGAAAAAGGTGCCCTGAATTCTTTGTTTTGAAAACTAAGGTGGTTAAAGTAGATTGAAACAAGGGGTTAAAAACAGTCTGCCTGGAGCTGCATAGCTTGAGGGGTTACGACCTTTTCAGCAAAACACCTTGTGAGGTCAACGATCAGGCCTCCACATTATCTTACACTCTTCTGTCATTGTGAGCATTTCATTTTTGGAACTTTGTCTGAAAATGGGAGTGTTCATATTTTAGTACGATTGTTAATGTTTTCCAGAAAACATTTTTTCCCTTCAAAACAAGTACTTTCAAAGAATGAGTGTATTCGTAAGAGGTTTTCTGTTATATTTCCAAGATATTTTTTCTCACTTGCAAGACTGGCAAACATATTTGACTTTTTTAGAGATGTCAATGAAGAAAATCAGGAACAATGAACAGGTTTTTACTTTACATCCAGCATTGCCAAACACATTGATTTTGTTGAGGGTTCACTCTTTGAAGTAGCATGTGATACTTTGCACAAAAGTTGAGGGCTAGTTTAAGGATCCAAGGAAGACCATGGCTTTATACACACCTGCATGTTTTTTCCTATGAATAAGTAAAGAGACTGAATTTACCTTCTCTGGACATGAAACATTTCCCTAAACCTTCTAATTTGGGAGAGCTTGTGCCACTATTGCTGGGGTACCCAAAGATATGGAGTAAATAAATGCCTGGATCATACATCTCTCCTGTCTCAAAGGAGAGCAGCAGGGTGGGGAGTGGGTGAAGTTCTGATTCTCTTTTTCCCACTCAACTGGACCTTGTGCTCAATGAAATCAGTCCTATTGAATGGGAAAATTAGTTTCAGCTTCTACTCTTGTCTCTCATTCTAAGTTGTTGAGGAACCTTGGGTAAGAAAAGCAAGGGCTTATTTTAAAGTATATCAACTGGATAAGTTGCTATTGAATAGAAATTTTTAAAGTCTGTTCTGATTACCTTCTGAATGTGTTTAAGTCTGAAATGCATCAATAGTGAGGATGTGAGTGCTCACCATTGCTTACCACACACACACATTTATATACACATATATGCATACATATATATGTGTATGTATGTGTATATCTGTATCTATATGTGCCAACAGAAGTTGGGCATGTTTTTGAAAGTCTATTGATTCAATAAGTTGCTGTTAAATTGGAAATTGGGTCATCATGAGTGAGAAGACTGAGTTCATAACCATTATCAGCAAGGGTGTGTCTAACCAGGGCTTGGGTTTCTTTCAGATTCCAACTCAGATGACTTTGACCCTGCTTCCACCAAGAGCAAGTATGACTCTCTGGATTTTGATAGTTTACTGAAAGAGGCTCAGAGAAGCTTGCGCAGGTAACATGTTCCCTGGCTGAGGATGACAGAGGGACGGTGAATACCTCACGGGACAGCGCGTCCTTCCCTAACAGACTATTGCAAGTCATACTTAGGAATTTCTCCTACTTTACACTCTGTACAAAAATAAAACAAAACAACAAACAACAACAAAACAACAACAACAGCAACAATGGTTTACATGAACACAGCTGCTGAAGAGGCAAGACAGAATGGATATCCAGTAAGCACATGTTTATTCATGGGTGTCAGCTTTGCTTTCCCTGGAGTCTCTCGGTGATGGTGTGTGTGTGTGCGCATGTATGTGTGTTTGTGTGTGCACGCACATGCGTGCCTGGCTTGGGGGAAGTATGTGTGTACGGTGGGGACTAGGGGCTCCTGACCAGAGTGTGCCAGGGCAAACCACTTCAAATGGCAGCAGTTCCAAGAAGACACACGTAAAACCTAGGACTTCAAAATGTTCATATTCTATTCAAAAGGAAAAAAAATGAATAAATTCAAAAGGAAAGAAAACTAACCAACCAACCACAAACCATCGTAAAATGACAGCCGCTGATGCGTGGGCATCAGCCTCCGTACTCTTGTTTTTTTAAGAAAGTACAAAATCAACTTGAAGCGAGCATTCTCTCATAATGTAATGATTATATGACAATCCCGAGGAAACCACAGGTTCCGTAGAACTAATATCCTTTCTCTCTCTCTCTCTTTTCTTTTTTCCTTTTGCCATGGAATCTGGGTGGGAGAGGATACTGCGGGCACCGGAATGCTATACTTTCCTAACATTTTGAAGTTGCTGTCGTTCGTCCTTTATCCTGACACCCATGTAAATGTCCAAAATGTTGATCTTCCACTGCAAATTTCAAAAGCCTTGTCCATGGTCAAGCGTGCGGCTTGGTCAATGGTTCTTTCTGAGGAGCGAGCACGGTGTTACATTATGAATGAGAGTTGGGTAGAACTCTCTGGGATGTGTTCAGATAGTGTAATTGCTACATTCTCCGATGTAGTTAAGTATTTACAGATGTTAAATGGAGTATTTTTATTTTGTGTACATACTATAAAAGAATGTTCTTTTTTTGTTACAGCTATGCACTGTAAATGCAGCCTTCTTTTCAAAACTGCTAAATTTTTCTTAATCAAGAATATTCAAATGTAATTATGAGGTAAAACAATTATTGTACACTAACCTATTTAGAAGCTGAACTTACTGCTTATATATATTTGATTGTACAAAAAAAAAGTGTGTGTGTCCGTTGAGTGCAGCAACAAAACGATGCTTTATGCACATCCATCCCTTCCTAGGTGAGCTTTGATCTAAGCATCTTGTCAAAAAATATCCTAGCCCCTTAAAGGTATTAACCACTTCCGCGATATTTTTCCACATTTTCTTGTTGCTTGTTTTTCTTTGAAGTTTTATACACTGGATTTGTTAGGGGAATGAAATTTTCTCATCTAAAATTTTTCTAGACGATATCATGATTTTATGTAAAGTCTCAATGGGTAACCATTAAGAAATGTTTTTATTTTCTCTATCAATAGTAGTTTTGAAACTAGAGGTCAAAAATCTTTTTAAAATGCTGTTTCGTTTTAATTTTTGTGATTTTAATTTGATACAAAATGCTGAGGTAATAATTACAGTATGATTTTTACAATAATTAATGTGTGTCTGAAGACTATCTTTGAAGCCAGTATCTCTTTTCCCTTGGCAGAGTATGATGACGGTATTTATCTGTATTTTTTACAGTTATGCATCCTGTATGAATACTGATATCTCATTCCTTTGTTTACTAAAGAGACATATTTATCAGTTGCAGATAGCCTATTTATTATAAATTATGAGATGATGAAAATAATAAAGCCAGTGGAAATTTTCTACCTAGGGTGCATGGCAGTCGTCAGGGTGGAGTTTCCGGGTTTCATTTGGGTAACTCAGCTTCTGCAGAAGCAGTGTTTCTGCTTGCACTAGCATGGCCTCTGGCGTGACCATGATCTTGTTCTTGATGACATTGCTTCTGCTAAATTCAATAAAAAACTTCCGAAAAACCTCCATTTTGAGCATCAGGATTTCATCTGAGTGTGGAGCCCCCGGAATGGAAAAAAAAACCAAACATTTGGAGTGTGTATTCACGTTTCTAAATTGAGATCTGATCACGGTTTGGCTGACGTGACTTTTCTGGAAGACATGATAGTCCTACTTTGTAACCCTTCTTTTCCCTCCTCTCGCCCAACACGGTCTCATACGATGGATCTCACCCCCAGGCCAATGCAGCTCCCTTTGATAGCTGCATTCATTTATCACCAGCATACTGTGTTCTGAGTGAATCCACTGTCTGTCCTGTCCGATGCTTGCTTGATTTTTGGGCTTCTTCTTTCTAAGTAGATAGAAAGCAATAAAAATCCTATGAAACAAACTTGTTCACAGGTTCTGCGTTACAGGAGTAACACATCTTTAATCCGCCTAATTCTTGTTGTTCTGTAGGTTAAATGCAGGTATTTTAACTCTGTGTGAACGCCAAACTAAAGTTTACAGTCTTTCTTTCTGAATTTTGAGTATCTTCTGTTGTAGACTAATAATGATAAAAAAGACTATTAAGAGCAATAAATTATTTTTAAGAAATCAATATTTAGTAAATCATATTATGTGTTCAAGGACCAGATGTGTTCTCTATTTTGCCTTTAAATTTTTGTGATCCAATTTTGAATATCTTCTCCTTTTTGCCCTGGATTGTCGACATGAGTAAAAATACTTGGTTTCTTTTCTTACTTATCAAAAGACAGCACTACAGATTTCATGTTGAGAATTAATTTATTCCCCCTCTGGCCTGACAAATATTGTTACCATAAAGATCGTTTTTTTCCCCCCATGGACTTCCAATTGCATCTAAAATTAGTGAAAAGAGAGAATCACTAAACCATCTGAATAGAGCTTTTATATCTTATGCAGACACTGTGGGTAGCCCATCAAAATGTAAACTGTATTCCTTTTATTTTTATTTTTTAAATTTTTTGGAGAGAATATTTCAAATGAACCCATGCACCCCATCATGACGGGAAGCAAATTTCAGCATAGATCTCTAGGGTTTTTAGATGACCGTGGGCCATTGCCTTCATGCTGTGGTAAGTACCACATCTACAATTTTGGTAACCGAACTGGTGCTTTAGAAATGTGGGTTGTTTTTTTTTTTTTTTAAGAAATGTAGCAGAATAATTCTTCCAGTGCAACAAAATCAATTTTTGCTAAACGACTCTGAGAGAGCAACGGCTGGGCTGTCAGCATTCAAAACGGCAGAGAGGGACCTGTGCACTACCGGGGTATGATGGTTGGGTCAGTGGAAAAAAGGAAACCTTTTCATGCCTTTAGATGTGAGCTTACAGTAGGTAATGATTATGTGTCCTTTTTTGATGGCTGTAACGAGAACTTCAATCACTGTAGTCTAAGACCTGATCTATAGATGACCTAGAATAGCCATGTAATATAATGTGATGATTCTAAATTTGTACCTATGTGACAGACATTTTCAATAATGTGAACTGCTGATTTGATGGAGCTACTTTAAGATTTGTAGGTGAAAGTGTAATACTGTTGGTTGAACTATGCTGAAGAGGGAAAGTGAGCGACTAGTTGAGCCCTTAACCGGGCTTTCCCCACCGCCCCCCCACCTGCCAATTCTACATGTATTGTTGTGGTTTTATTCATTGTATGAAAATTCCTGTGATTTTTTTTAAAATGTGCAGTACACATCAGCCTCACTGAGCTAATAAAGGGAAACGAATGTTTCAAATCTACTTCTGCTTTTCTTATTTATCGTAACCCAACTCCTGGCATGTTTCTCAGGTCAGTACACATTGTTTGCTCATTATCATTCTCTTTACCCCTGGATCTCCCTCCCTTTTTTCCTGCTTTTCCATATTCATGGGTGGATTTCAGCTTCAGGGTAACGCGCCTTCTGTACTTTACGTTGTCTCTTTGCGAACGGCAAAGGAAGAAGTGGTGATCTTTGTAGAGACTTGATCCTATGGACAAGCTCTGTTTTTCTATGTACCCGTGGAAAGTTTTTACGTACAAGCCATTAGCTCCAGCGACTAACCCACTAAACAGTTAACTTAGGAAACCGTTCTACTGTAGATGGAATGAATACTGTTTGAAGACTTGTTATAGAAGGCAGTCGCTATAAAATGTAAGTCATCGTCAGACTAAATACAGGACATGCTGATAGCTGCCAACACAGCATGCTGTCAGGATGTCCCCTGTGCCATGTAGGTGGCTGGTGGTCCTAATGACAGAGATGACAGAGAATGCACTGGTGACATTCTGGCATCCCCAGACTCCCTATGGTCATCCCCACTCCCAGCAATTTGTACAGCAAGACCCAACAGAGGCATAGTATTGGGAAAGGGCGGCTAAATATATCCCAGTCCCTGCCCCCCATCTCCTACAGAAAAAAAACCACATGCATTTAATTATTAGAAATGTGATAGAACTAACCATCATGCATTAAAATCTGTAAAACAATGCAAAAAGCATTTCTCATGGTTCTTGTTCTGTTTTTTAAAAGATTTTATTTATTTATTTTTGAGAGAGGGAGAGGGAGAAAGAGAGGGAGAGAAATACCAACATGTGGTTGCCTCTCACGTGGCCTCCACTGGGGACCTGGCCTGCAACCCAGGCATGTGCCCTGACTGGGAATCAAATTTGTGACCCTTTAGTTCACAGCCCGCATTCAATCCACTGAGCTTCAGCAGCCAGGGCTTATTTCTGTTTTATACCACTTAATATTTTCCATTTGTTTTATTAAAATAGAAAATTTAAAAAATTCCATTATCTTACCTAAATAATGCATTTACCTAAAACCGTAGTACTAAGCACTCCGAGATTCAGTGGATAAGCCTCAGGTCTGGGCTTGTCTCCACTGACCCTTAAATTGTGTACGGTATTTTTATTCTTTTGGCTGGGATGAGCAAAGATGTCAGGATAATGCAAGTTTTTTTTTAAAGGGTTAACTTTTGAGCTTTAAAAGCCTTTGAGGGTAAAGAGGGATTTTTAAGATGTAACATCAGCAGCTGCTGCCCTGGTCTGGGGACATTCCAATTAGATAAAAGATTCATTTGATGTTCTTCAAACATTAAATCACTTCCATCCTTGATGATACTGGTGGCAAAATAATTATTTAAACCAAAATTACACTGACAAAAATAAATGAGCACTAGATATGCATTTATTTAAAAAGACTTTGTTTCGATTCAAAAGTCCTCCAAACTAAGTCTGTCTAACCTGTTCAATATGATATTGGTTCAAAATTCTTTTCCAGTATAGACAATTTTCTATTCGCTGTAGCATTCTTTAGCTAATCATTGGATAGAACTTACAGCCCTAACAAATTAGTATGTATACACATTTGGCACTAGTGTTATCAGCTACACGTAACTTAGTAATAATTGTAGAATATTTGAACCAAAGCATAGTATTTGTGACATTTAACTTTACATTAGTCTTATGTTTTGCAATTCTTGTTGCTGTTTCTTGTTTCCAAACGCCTTATACACCATTATAAATCAACCTCCATACTTTATTAAACAGCAGAGAGTAATAAAGAAGGTCACAACTTATAGAGGAGTTCCTTGGAGGTTTGTTACATTGTGATTTAAATCTCAGAAAGATTTAATCAAAAGCTGAATTAATCCCTGGGGGGAATATGCTCTATAGATTCTATTGATGGGCACATAGCAGCCTATTTCTTTTCATTGGTCTCTGTTAACATGTCGAAGAAAAGGAACAGCTTCTAGAAAGACAGTAGGGCTTTCTTGGGAGGGGATAGATAATAAGCAATGACTTTTGTGCCAAGTTTCTAGCCTTTCATCTAGGGTGGCCTGTTTTATTCTCACCGTGGCATTATTGGTTCTTCTAGTGCTCAGTGAAGTTAAATGTCCTCCACCTTCTTGCTCACCTAAATATATTCCATGTGATTCCAGTAATTCTGCAAGGTCTCTAAAGCTCCACTCCACTTGAGCATGTGGAATGTGTGGGTCACATGAGCTGGTTTGCAGGGCTTCTGTGATAATCAGGTGACCGCCCCGGGCACATTCTCAGGGGCTCTGGAAACTGGCAGGTGGAAATGATCAGAAAGTACAGATATTTCTAGGACAAGGTTCTACTGAAAAGCCTAACATTTTCCATGATGGGGATGTAGGACAAGAGGCCATCACCTTCCCCTGTGCCTCTTTTTTGTTCTTAGTTGATAGAAATGTCACCCTATCCCTTTTAGCTCAAAAACTATTACTGAACATCAACTGACTTAGAGAAGGGGCAAAGTGGAATTAATTAATTGAAAAAAGTGAGGGAACTTTTAGAGGAGAAAACCAAATGATACTATAATATTTTCATGATTAAATTAAATGAGCATAATTATGCATGCACATATGCACACCAAGGCATTATTATAATCAAGAACCTTAAAATATTGCATTGTTTCAAATTTATGCATATAGCACTTACAGAAGGCAAGTAGCTAGTGTGATATTTGAATTTGCATATTGACCATTTTCATATATTAATTTCTAGTAGGAAGAAGCTGAATTATTAGGAAAAGCCCTGGGGTGATTTAGAAAAAATATTGTGCTTCTGCTCATTTTGGAACATCAGGGGCACTTAGCAACATTATCTTTTTTTTTCCACATAGTTTTCTGTGATGGATTTTCAACAAGATGACATCCAAGTGAAAACCGAAATTAAATGGGAAGGAAAGAATGTTAAGTGGTAAAATCCTAAATAGCTTATTAGACTACTTAATTGGAGGGAATTTATTTTTGCTGCTGTTAGGAGCTATAGTCAAGCTTCTCTTTAACAATACTAATTGATGAAAAAAGTGGCTTTTGTCCTCCAGTTACTGTGCATTCCCCTCCAGGAAGTCATTTCAGGGGGTTCACAGGCGCTTTCCTTTGTTTGACTTCAGTGTTGCTGGAAACGAAGTCCTGTCCTCATTCATATCATGGCTTTTTCGTTTTGTTTCCAGCCAGGTCTATTTTTCTCCACCTGGAGCTTCTCAGTGCGCCTGAAAGACTTGAAAGAAAATAAGGCTGTGCTTATTCTCGTTTAACCGTTTAAGCAGGCTTTCAGCTTGATGGCTATACACTTCAATCGAATGACTAATGTTTCGTAGGCTTGGAGGTAGTGCCCTCTGTAAGCGTTTTGCTATTCAGATGGCAGGAATATGTGCACGCTTTTACAGAATAATGATTAATTGCTCTGCTTCTCAGAGAAGGAGAAGTTAGTAAGCTGGTCACACAGTCTGTGGTATGGCCATGTTCCTTTCATGTCAGGTAACTTCATGATCAAGTGCAACGCATGGCCTAATCAAGAACCTTCATTTTCCTCCAATTACCTGGCTACACAAAATAAGCATTCTGGTACCTGTTCCGTGAGCTGCCTGTCCTAGGGTCTACAATGTGAATTGCATTTCAGAGGGTCCAACAGGAAAACAGGAGGAGGAAAAGCAAAAATCGGAGTTCACCACCCAATGTTTGGAGTCGGCATCTGAGGGTGGCAGGACCTGAATGTTGGGGCTGACGTTTTCCATTTTAATGACAGATACGGCAGCACACAAAGGGAGTGCCAGTGCATGTACCTGATGAATGGAACATTCATAAAGTGCTCTCAAGAGTCTCTCTGTCACATGGTGCCAGGGTCACATGGAGGCACCTTTTGCCATGGCACGCTGTGGCAAGGACTAACTCTGGAAAGGTCAGCTATAGGAAAGGGAAGGGATAAAAAGAAGGTTAACCAAACACATCTGAACTTCAGGTACAGAAGCAAGGTTTGGGCAAAGATTTTCCCAAGTTTCTCATTTGCCTTTCATGCCCACTCACTCCACGGGATTATAAAAACAAAAGGGATGATTATTATACAGCAAGAGCAGCAGAGATGTGAAGCAGAGAATGGCCCTTACAGAGCAGCTGGGAGTGTGTGTGTGTGTAGTTCTGTGTCAGCTAGACAGAAATGGGCTCTTACCAAACTGGTGTTTGCTCAGAGGAGTTGATTAAAACCCATCAATGGGGGCCTAAGAGTCAGTGTCTATCACTCCATGTCTGTGGTCATCCTAAGACCTGGCTGCAGAAAGACTGGCAGATCTGAGGAACTGAGCACTAGACACTCACAGCGCCAGTGCATGGCTGGCCTGTTGGGGTAGTGT